TTCTTTCTTTCTTTCTTTCTTTCTTTCTTTCTTTCTTTCTTTCTTTCACATGGAAATAACATATTAGAAAATTCTTAAAAATGGGGAGATGTTGAGAAAGCAGTGTGGGGTAAAGAGACAAATCTATACAGGTCATCTGGGCTGATAAGACTAATGGATAAGACTAAGAGGTTGCTCAACTGTGGGAGGAAGCCTGGTACTTTAACCCAAGTGTGAGGGCAGTCAGCAACAAGAAAGACACTGACCAAATGGAGCTAACTTCTTGATCAGAGTTGTCCGGTTGATGAAAGATACCCTCTTCCTGGTTGCCTTGGCCATAGGACATTTATCTTATGTTAATGGCATTATAATTAGGAAACAAACATGCCAATTTTTAAGAGGGTGGGGTACCTAATTACCTCCACTTTTGGGAAATTCTGGGGGTAATTTGGGAGATTTTTGCCCCAGAAAGTATGTAATTGATGGAAAGAATATTAAGATAAATTAATGGGAATCCATGGACAAGAGGGCTTCCAGTGCTTTCTACTCCTACCCTACTCAATCTTATCATCTCAGTATTTTATATCCACCTAACTTCCCTGGTACTTACTATCATCATGGCAAAGAAATCAGAAACTCTGGACTGGGAAATGAAGAAGCTCATACTCTTGGGGTCCTGTGAAGGGTTTGGAAAAATCTAGGTAGTCACTGGTTGAGTTTCTCCCTCATCCTTGACATCACATCCATAACATCCCCCACAGCTCTGTGTCAGCTAGTTGATGCTCTTTTTTTCATGCTATTACACACTTGGAATGTAGTTACCAGGGCATATGTTTTGTTTCACTAGTAACTATGCCACGAAACACCGATCTATCTTGAGCAGCTACAAAGAGGATCAGGGTTATTTCAAAACAGTTTTTACTTATCTGATGTATTTGTCAAACACATATAGTGCTCAATATGTGCCAGGCACTGTTCTTAACACTTACCGATATTAACATATTGTCGTAGATATAATTAGATAGAAAATTCCTGGCGGGGTGTGGCAGAGTTTTTTTTTGCCTTGGAAAATTCAGATTATTGATAAAAATATTATATGTACATTGAAAGAGGTTCAAAATGTTAATTGGAGAAATCTGACCTAAAATCCACATTCATTCAGGGCTCCTTATGCATGGTCCATGGTTCTCCGAGAAGTCCATGAATGGGCTTTCAGGACACTGTAGTTGTGAGTCTGCCTATAAAAGTCTGCCTATTCATTTTTTATGGAGGAAAGAGTGTATCTTCTTTATCAGATTTCCAAAGGCATCTGCAACTCTCAATGGCAGTGGTGGTTCACGATGTTTAGCTCCCATTAGCATCTCCTCCTTTTAAGTTCAGTCTTACACAGACAAATTGGAGAATTAAAATATTTACTGTGTATGCAGATGCAAATTGCTGATGTTGATATGGAAGAATTTTAGTTAAACTTCCTCTCTAAAAATGCATCAAAGCCAGGAACAGCAAG